GACAAGAACTGGGTACTGAAAGGAGGTAGAGTGATAAGCATGATAACCCTTCAGTTAACAATACTGCAAACCACAGTGTGTAAAAGGAGAGAGAGAGAGAGAGAGAGAGAGAGAGAGAGAGAGAGAGAGAGAGAGAGAGAGAAGAGAGGAGAGAAGAAAATTATCTGCATAAAGACAGGAAGACAGGCATGGAGGGAAACTGGGGCCATTGGTGGCAGGAAATGAGCACTGGTAAAGGGATGAGTGTTGAACATTGTATGACTGAAATTCAATCACGAACAACACTATATCTCATGGTAATTCATTTTTTTTAAATGGGGGGGGGGGGAGAATTACATTACCGAGGAACATAACCAAGAGACATGACAACTCCTTCACACAAAAATTTGTACCTGTACACAAAAGTTCAAAGAACTACTAATAATAAAAAAATTAAAACATCAGCAAATGTCCATGTACTGATAAATGGGCAAACCAAACATGGTGTCTCCACACAATGCAAAATTGCTGTTTGTTGGTAACCAAAGGTATTGAGAGAATGGGGGAAGGAAATGTCTGAAGAGACAACTGAACAGCCCATGTTTTCACTTTAAATATCAATATTAAACCCACTTTCCCAACAGTATCCAGCATGTTTTATGCAGAATGATCCCAATTTCTCCTCTACTCTATCAGATTTATCAACACTGTTGAGCACCTGACACCCCAGAGATGTGTGGGAGCTCTTGCACAGGAGCACAATAAGTCTCTTACTCCTCTGGAAGAGTTAATTCGACTCTGTAGAAAGAAGCAAACTCTTGAGAACATCTAGAAACTTTCCATCTCGCGGGGATAAAATTAGCATGTTTCTCCTTAAGCTAGGTTTCAAGTATTACTGTAACCTGAAGTCAAGATATTAAACAACTAGAAACTGTTAAGTCAAAATAAGTCTAAAGCTAGACTGCATTATAGATGGGAAAACAAACCCACAGACCTGTAGGTGGCCCGCTGGCCTGTGCAGGTCCAGGTGTGGCTTACTAGAGATGGAGACTTCTGGATTCTGTGTAAATCAGACCCTTCATCAAGCTGTACAGAGGCCCTGTACACAAATAGACTCAAGCAGCCAGGAAAATTTATAAGGTAGAGGAAGGACCTACTCTGTCAAAAGGCATTTCAGTGGCTCCTTAACAATAAAAATGGTGTTTCAGCAACTCCTCTAACAATATCCAAGTCATGTAAATAATTACCTGTCACTGTCACTGTCCTCCCATTGTTCCTCGATTTGCTCGAGCGGGCCCAGTAACGTCTCCATTGTGACAATTGTTACTGTGTTTGGCATATCAAATACGTCACAAGTAGCTTGCCAGGCTTTGCCATGCAGGTGAGATACTATTGGTAGCTTGTCGGGCTCTCCGAGAGGTGCAGAGGAATCGAACTCGGGTCGGCCATGTTGGCCACTTACACAGCAAATGCCCTACCCGCTGTGCTAACACTCCAGCCCAAATAATTACCTAAGCTGGAAATTTACAAAGGTTTATTAAATCTATGAGAACATAGGACTGCTTGGCAAAGCTTTCCCCCTTTATAAACAGATCATTTTGTTCTTTCTCCACAATATTCACTCCCTGCTAAGAACCAGAGTGAATTAAAGCAAGGTTCAAGGGTAAAAGTTGATCATCAACAAGCAATTTACTTGGTGCTTACTAGAAAAGTCACTTCGACATCTGTTGAAGGCAGTTAATTTGAAAATTCCATGCAAAATAACAAAGTAAAGTAATTAAGAATTGAAGAATTCAAAATATTCTAGGAATGCAAAAACGATTTAATGTTAGACTACCTTAGAAACCTGTTACTATAATAAAACTCATTATAAATTAAAGGAAGAAAACCTAAGGATTACATGAAAACTGAAATATCATAGTAGATGTATCTGACCTACAATAATATAGCTTATTTCAAATTTGTTACTATTTTAAGAAACAAATTTTGCCATGAGCACAGAGCTAGGTTTTCACTACCGCTTACCTGCCTTGTGATTGCAACCTGAACCTAGACTGGACTGACAGAAATCATTTATAATAAAGCTACTATAGAGCTTTGAAATCTACAGTAAATGTAGAAAATATTAATGTACATCTTTATTTTTTAAAAAAGTAAACAAAACATCTCTGAGAAAAATACCTGGAAAACTTAATTAAAAAAATAGAACAAAGGCACATAATAATAGGCATCCTGTTGAAAGCATTCCCTTTCAGTCAGGAATGAGGCCCATATCACACTTCTTGTCAACACTGTACAATATAAAGGGGCCTTCCCAAGGTCAAAAAATTAACCATTAACTGAGTCGGACAGACCCAGACTTTCTACCTATCCGTCTAGCACGTTATATCCTTCATTATAGTTTTGTGTTCAAAGTGCTCCTGTTTTCTTTGGGCCGAGTCCCTTAAGTTCCACTGGTAAATTAGCTGGTATTTTCCAGAAGAACTACAAGAAGCAATTAGTGAGGCTGGGGGCTAGATTCTCCTCTGGTAACAAACAAGGGCATAAAAAATACCTTGAGCAGCTAGTTCACTCCAGTTACAGACCAATGTCGATATACACAAGCAGCAGGAAAACACAGGCCAAAATCTTCACATGTACAGCAAAAAAAACCCTATGTGAAATCCTGCTTCACATTTTTACCTCAAAGCATTAGTGAGAACCTTTTTCATCCTATTGAACAGTATTTGACAGTTCTAATCAGCCAACAGTCCATAAAGATATGGAATATATGGACAATATAAATAAAATTTGGTTTAAAGCATCTTTACTGTATTTTGTACTATAGAAAGAAACAAAGACTTTATTTTCCTCCAAGTTGACTTTATCCCAGAAAATTCTCAACTTTAACCTCTATATTTCGTGAATATTGTGATAAAGGGAAAAATTCATATTTTAAAATACTCTCATCATCAAACAAGAAAGGACAAAGTTAAAGAAATTTACTCAAGAAACTAGAAGGGAAAAGAAACTAAAAGGAAACAAAGTAAATATACAAAGAATAATTAAAATTAATTTTTAAAAAGTAGAAAAATAATCAAAAATAGGTTAAGAATAAGGGTCAGATAGTACTGAGGTTATAGCACATGCCTTGCAACCCATGTAGCCGGTTTAAATCCCCAAATTCCCAGTGGTCTCTCCTGAGCACCAAACAGGAATAACCCTTGAGTACCAGGGGTTATGGCCCAAATCCAACTCCCTCCAAAAAGAACAAAATCGATAAGCTATGTATGCAGAGAACGAATGTAGGGAAACATCCTATTCTTCTGGACAGGAAGAATAAATATTGTAATTGTTGGGCTATACAAGTTAACATGCAGGCAGCAAATGAGTATAAACTGGGAAAACATTTGAAAACATATGAAGCAAAATGTTACCTGTGCTTTTCTCAAAATGATGAGATAAAAAGAAATATTTATTTTGTTTGGTATAGTATTGTTTCCTAACCCTCTTGTAATGCATATATGATTTTATGATCAGGAGGAAAAAAAAGGTTTTTCCTTAAGAAAACATATTATTTCTCACTGGCACATGTTTAACATAATGCCAACTGAAATAACCAAGAAAGGTGAGGGTCAAGAAGGACCGTTGAGAAGGGAGATTAAACATATTACAACAGAACGATGGAGGGATTTATTCCACAGAATATAGGAACAAGCGTAGTGTTAAAATGAGCAGCTGACTAGTAGTACCTTCTGATGGAACTGGTGCCATACCTTCCATAAAATGTTGAGAATTTAGAACACAGGCAATGACAAATTCCTAACACTACCCCCCATGAAGATTTCTGTCAGTCCAGTCTAGGTTCAGGTCACAATCACAAGGCAGGTAAGTAGTAGTGAAAATCTACCTCTGTGCTCATGGCAAAATTTGTTTCTTAAAATAGTAACAAATTTGAAATAAGATAGGAAGGTAATTAGCTTGTCTCTTTTTATTTGGGGGGCCTAACCCAGAGCATACAGGCCCACCCAGCGTTTGGAGGTGTTATTTTTCCTTTTTGTGTGTGTGCCACACCCAGTGATGCTCAGGGCTTACTCCAGGTTTGGAAAGGTGATTTTGACCCTTTCACCAATGGGCCCCTAAATCACAGACCCAAAACTGAGGAAGCAGGGAGGGAAAGCTACCTCTAGGTAGCCTCGGTCACTGGGCTGAATGTTGTACGATCATTGCCAGGCTCATCATAAAACAAAATTACAGACTGATTAATACTTTAAAAATAAATAAAAATTTATTTAATTTTGGGTTAGGAAGACTTTTCCGAGTGAGAAAAAAAGGTTTGGGGGTAGAGGGAGGGTACATCAAATAAAGACAAATTAGAATGACCTAAAATAACTTCCTATCAAGTGTCAGAAAGAGTTCAGGGAAACATGTATTCTCATGATCTGTGGTGGAAACTGGTATGTATCTTGAGAGCAATATGGCCGAATGGCTGAATCTTTAAGATGGTCACAGTCGAACACAGTTAAGTCAGTGTCTAGGAATCTTTCTTAAGGAAATAATCAGATAAATAAAAACTGTATTTATAATGTTGAGAGACAAGATAAAACATAAATGTTCAACAGCAAGTTTATAAAGTATACACAAACTAGCTATAAATGAATAGTCTTTAAAATTGTGTGAAAAGGTTAAAGATGAGACTAAGTTAAAAATATTAAATCAAAAAAGTAATATATACAGGATCATTATAAAGAATTTCAACTAGTAGTAGAACACATACCTGAAATATCAAAATTCTTTATCCCTGAAACATACCTACTCATTCATTTCACTATTTCCCCACAATTTGATTTGCCTGGAGTCATAAACTGGGGTGTTTCATTTTTGTATCTTATGGCCAGCCTAGAATCTAATCTTCAAGCTAGATGTTGAATTCATTAACAAACTGTCTAAGCACAGGATTGTCTGTGTTCTGAATTCCAAGGTCAAAGATAAAAGGGTAAACAAGAATGTACAAATACCGGAGAAGAAAAGGCTCTTCTTACCTTGGCTAGTAGATTTGAAACACGATTAATTTCCCCATTTGCTGTTAGTAACTCTTGTTTAAGCTCAGAGCAAGACTGTTCCAGCTGATCTTTTTCAGCTTGAGCTAGTTTCAACATCTCTTGAACTTCACATCCTTCTGCTACTGGCCCTGTGGGACAGGTCTCTCCAGCTTTTTGCTTCTCATTCTCCAAATGAGCTTTCAAAGATCCATTTTCAATCTTCAGTCCTTCCAAGGTAACTTTACATTCTTCCAAAGTCTTGGCCATGACACTCTTATTACTCCTTTCTAGTTCTAGAAACCCATTCAGCTTTTCATTTTCTTCCTTCAGGTGCTTAATCATTTCTAAAGCTCCTTGGTTTTCTTCCTCAACCTTCCGTAAGCTACAGGTAAGCTGCTGCTGAATGTTGAGTAGCTTCTCCCTTTCAAAGCGACCCTGTTCAAGAATTTCTTTGCACTTCTGCTCCAGTTCAAGAATTTTTCCTTCTTGAGCACTGGACTCTTCATTCTTTGCTCGTTCTTGTAAAAGATTTATCAGTTTCTCATTTTCTTGACTTAAGTGCTCTGCCCTCTCTCGATGCTGATGAAAGGAAGTTTCCAAAAGAGTTTTCTCATCCACCAGCTTCTCATTTTCAGCTGTCAATTCCTGCACCATTTGCTGCTGGTCTGACAATTCTTGCAAAGTAGCCTGCAGCTCTTCTGCTGTGCTGTGATGATTTTCTTCCATCTTTTGAATCTTCTCTGTAAGGGATGCCAGGGACAATTCACTCACATTGTTAGGAGAACTCCCTGTAGTAGAACACCTTGAGCTCTTAAAGGGGTTACTAGTGGAAGATAGGGGCCGGGAGGGGGTATCTGCTGAGATGTGCTCAAAATCAGAGGCATCGGGTGATAAGGAAGCTTTGGTAACATCACTACTTGAAGAACCTGACTTCCGTAATGCATTTCCATGTATATTTTTCTTAAACTCTTCCACTTCGCTTGACAGCTGATTTTCAGTTGGACTTCCAAAGCTGGATTCTTGAGTAATGGAGGTTGGGCAGCTGCTATCACCAGTGTGACTTGGTTCAGAATTGGGTGAGTGCTCAAGATAAGTGAGTTTCTCCTTCAAGACTCTGTTTTCTTCCTCTAGTTCAGCAAGCTCTTTCTCAAAATTCTTGTTCTTGTCTTCCAAAGCTCTTACCAAAGACTCTGAGTCACCTGATGAGAATGATGTTCCACCTACATTTGGGTTTACAGTATTAGTTACTTCAGTATTTGGAGACCTTTTTTCCTTGTACTTCTTTAGCTCACTTCGAAGCCTGTTAATTTCACTATCTTTTGCTTTGGCTTCTGCCAAAAGCTCCCGAACTTGTGACTCCAGCACGGCCTTTTCTCCACCTTCATTCTCTTGCTTGGGTCTTGTGGAAGCGGTCCTCAGATGCTTGACAGGTGTGGGTGTGCTGGAAGAAGTTGGGCTGGACACCAATTTCCTTGGGTTGGAGGAACCTCGTGGCACAGTTCTCTCTCTTGAGACAGTAACTGCAAGTTCTCGAGGAGCTGGAATGCCAGTCCGTTTGGTTGTGGCCACAACCCCTAAAGACAGAAGAAGAAAACAGTGAAATAATGCAATCACAATTATAATACAAGCCAAATGACTCCAATCACAAGGCAAAGTGGACAGGGTAGGGGCCTGTTCCCTTGCATCCAGTTCCTCCTCCTCTAGGTCAGAGACGCAACCTTTCTGAGAGCCATCACCGGTTCACAGACTGGCAGCTGAAAGCCACTGCCAGGTAATCCGCAGGTACTTTTTAGACTGGCAGGAAATTTCTTCAGACTAGTACCAGTCTGTGTTTGAAAACCATTCCCATAATTCTCTGCTTCTGATATGGGTTTCTAGACCTCTTCCCAGAGTCCTGCACTGAAGGAAGGGAACGCCAAGCATTCGTTCTGGCTGCTCAGCACAATCATCCCAACTACAGTTGTACATATCTCATTGAAAGTCACACACATGGGAGCACACCTCAACTCAGGTCACTAACACAAAGGAAAGGTTTCCTGGGTGTTCTTCTAAAACATGAAGGACCATGTCAGCCTAATGATTGATAACTGTGGCAACCAAACAACAATTTTTTGATAACATATAAGTCCAGTGTTAATTTATCAATTTTTTTGTTTTTAATGTGTTTACATTAAAAACAAACAACAAAAAAAACCTTATCTTGGGGCGAGAGCCATAGTACAGTGGGTTGGGCTTTTTGCTTGCCAGGAGGTCAACCAGGTTCGATCCCCAGCATGCCATAAGTTCCCTGAGCACCACCAGGAGTAATTCCTGAGTGCAGAGCCAAGAGTAAGCATCACTGGGTGTAAACCAGAAAGAATTCTTTTTAAAAATTTTTAAAATTATAAAACTTATCATTAGTATATTTTGACTGAATACAAATTTGATGATGACATCTGAAAGCACTATAGTACTAAAGAAAGGCTGATCTAATCCAATAACATACTTCTTTGAACATAGTTGAAATATGTATTAATAATTATTCATAAAGAACCAAGAACAGATAAGATGAGGAGGTATTACATTTACCTATATTATAGTTTTAAGTGTTAAAGGGATCTATGTAATATAAAGATGACATAAAATTCAGAATACTTGTAATGAAAAATAAAAGGTAGGGAATTGGATTTTTTCTCATTTATACTACTGTATAATATCTTATTTTCAGCTTAATATGTTTTAATTTTTCATTTATATTACTAGAGAGGATATTCTTAAATTTTCCAGGCATCAAAACCTACATGAGGGGCTGGAACGATAGCACATGAGGGGTTGGAGCGATAGCACAGCGGGTAGGGCATTTGCCTTGCACGCGGCCGACACAGGCTCAATTCCCAGCAAACCATATGGTCACCTGAGCACCGCCAGGAGTAATTCTGAGCACATGAGCCAGGAGTAATCCCTGTGCATTGCCGGGTGTGACCCCCCCCCCCCCCCAAATAAAAAAAACCCTACACAAAATAGCAATCTCTTATACACCTTAGAAATGAAGCCCAACTTGGAAGTTAAAATGTAAATGAAAATCCTGGACCAATGCTACAAACTCCAAGACCAAGTGATGAGTCAAGAGTGACAGCTGTATTTACACCCTGGAGCAAAGGCCTTGAGCAGCACTCTATACCGCACACGTGGCAAGGGAGAAAGGAGGACTCCCCAGACTGGCGGCACGCAGTGTGCCAAGTCAGTGACACAGCCCTGGATGCACAGAGCGTCCAAATCCTTTGACAGGACACAAGCAGATGCTCATCTGAAGACATCTGGAAATCAAGGCAGGAGGTGGAGTCTAAGGTCATCATTGCTGTGTCTAAGAGTAAAAAGTTTAATAGGTTTAATAGACTAAATGCTCACATCATATTAGTATACTGCAAAACTATGATTTTTAAAGCGATTGTTTCAAATTAAGTTACTAGAAAACTTTGAGTGGTTTATATACACGGAATACTTTTAGGTGCCCAGATGCCTTATTTGTATCATATTACTCAGCGCAGAAAAGATTTAGTCATCCTTATAAAATGGAGATTAAGATCACTACATAATAACATGTTTGTAATACCAGTTCTATACAATGAAGTAATACTGGCAAGGACCATACTAAAAACTGGAAGATAAAGTTTTATTTTTCACTACAGGAAGAACAGGCAAGCCTAGGAATCCAGGACTTGTTATCACAGACCATTTGCCATTCCAATTCACCATAATCATTTGCTGGTTTTGAAGATGGGAAGAATTCATACAAAAGCAGACCCATTCTGTAATCATTTAGTGCTACACTTTAACTCCTTTCTTTTCCTGACAAAACATTCATGTTTCTGTTATTTGTTTGTTTGTTTGTTTGTTTGTTTTTGGCCACACCAGGGCTTACTCCTGGTTATGTGCAGAGATCACTTCTGGTGGTGCTTAAGGAACCATATATGGTTCACAGGATCCCACCAAGACCAGCTGGATCAAGGGTTTGGGCACTTCAGTGGTGAGGTGGCTTTGCAAAAATAAATAATTTTTAAAACTCTGGAATTCATATTTTCCTTAAGCTTATATCTGGTATATCTTTTCCTTCAACATAGAATCCTCTAAAAAGTTCAGTGTACCAACTGCCTTCATTCCTTCCCTGTTCCCCGTCCTCAGTCAAAGACTGCTGCACTCTCCATGTCATTCACACAACAGACACTTTACACCCTTTCAACGGAGAAGAATAATTCCTTTATGTCTGAAACATACCTCTGGTATCACTCACTCTTGACTACTGTCACTCCAGCCGCCTCCCTCTCTCCCTGCCTTGCACATATATGGCCATGGTTCAAATCTTCAGAGTCCCCCTTGTACCCAGTATGATCCCAGCAGCTCTGGTGCCTATGAGCAATGGGGCCACAATCATTTTCATCTGCGCTGCAGTGAGCTGTTTGTGAGTACCACCAAAGTGGGTGCAACCCTCTGAGAGCAACGCAACTAGAAAGTCTGCAAATGCCAAAGTCAGGAAATGCCACCTCTGGAGAACAGCATAGTCCTAATGAGCACCAGAACCAGGACCTGTATGCCACAAACAGGAGTGTTTGTCCTGGGGTTGGAGGAATAAACAGCTCAATAGGCTGGGCACATGCTTTTGCATACGAAGACTTGCTTGGGCTCCCAGCACCTCATGGACTCCAGCTCTACTGAGAAAGACCCTCAAGCACAGAGCTAGGAGTAGTTTCCAGCACTGTCAGGTGTGTCCCTGCCCCCCCCCAAACAAACCCCACAAAATCATTTGCCCTGCAAGCACATGTGCAAGCACAATTAAAGAAATGTAAAACTCAATGAACACTATTGTCAAGTGTGCAAGCACCAAAGATAGAAATGTAGAAGCACAACCAGGCCAAGAGTGCAACCCCTGCTCACCACAGCAGCACCACCACCAACAACAAAGGGAAAGAAGAGGGGGGAATAAGAACCATCATTTAAAAATACAAAGTCTTGGGGCTGGAGCAATAGCACAGCGGGTAGGGCGTTTGCCTTGCACGTGGCCAACCTGGGTTTGATTCCCAGCATCCCATATGGTCCCCTGAACACCGCCAGGGGTAATTCCTGAGTGCAGAGCCAGTAGTAACCCCTGTGCATTGCCAGGTGTGACACAAAAAGCAATAAATAAATAAATAAAAACAAAGTCTTGGCACGCAGAGACCCACAGATGGAGAAGGCAAGAGTGGAAGAATGCTGATCTGTACAGTGTCCTCAAGAAGATCTCACCGATATGGTGTGAAATCAGAGGTAGTTTTCACCTTTTAAACAAGGCAAGGATGTGATGAGATAAGAATAAATAAAATGCCTTCTCTCTCAGGAGAGAGCATAAACCAATTCACCATAGCTATGCTGCTGAACCTAGCACCAGGCTGTTTCACTCGAGGCACCCCAGAGGGAGGCAGGTGAGGCCCCTCACTGCCCCAAGGGACCCAGCCCCAGCAGCCAAAAACCTCTAGAACTCAATTGCCACCATGCTCATGGTGGTTGAGCCTCACCCAGAAATGAATCTATTCCTGGATATCTCATACCTCATACCACTTATACTCCAAGAGTAGCACACCATATTTTACGGGGTTTAAAGTAGAAGGCAACTAACTTAGAGGAAAATATATTTTTAGATATTATATAAGAGAGAGGCTGGAGCCACAGCACAGTGGGTAGGGCATTTGCCGTGCACACAACTGAACCGGGTTCGATTCCTCTGTCCCTCTCAGAGAGCCCTGCAAGCTACCAAGAGTATCTTGCCCTCTCGGGAGAGCCTGGCAAGCTCCCCATGACGTATTTGATATGCCAAAAACAGTAACAACAAGTCTCACAATGGTAGACGTTACTGGTGCCTGCTTGAGCAAATGATGAACAACGGGATGACAGTGCTGCATCTATATTTATATCTATATCTATACATAATATATATATATATAAGCACACAAGGCTCAACCCTTAAAAACATATTAATAATTGGGGGCTGGAGCAATAGCACAGCGGGTAGGGCATTTGCCTTGCACACAGCCAAACCAGGTTTGATTCCCAGCATCCCATATGGTCCCCTGAGAACTGCCAGGAGTAATTCTTGAGTGCAGAGACAAGAGTAACCCCTGTGCATGGCCTGGTGTGACCCAAAAAGCAAAAGAAAAAAAATATTAATAATCTCTTATAGAAGGGCTTAATGGCCCATGGGTGAAATACAACAATCTTCACACACTCTCCTCTAAGGAACGTTTTTTGAAGCATTTTCAGCATAACAAACAATACAAAATAAATAATTTTGGTTCTGCTTTAGGGCAGGGGTTAGGGTTCGGGATGGAAACATCCAAAATATGGTGATGGGAAAACCATTTCAACCTAGAATTCTATAACCAACCTAATTATAAATAAATCATAACAGGTAAAGATGGTGGGAGGTGGAGATTAAACTACAAACACTCTTCTACCAAAACAAGGGAGAAGACTAAGAGAAAAAAATGGAAGAGTGAACATGAAGGTGTGGGTCTATTAGAAGAAACCAGTCAGGAAGTCTTGGCTAAAACTCACTCAGTTTGAC